GAAGGGGGTGCTTGGAACTTTCCCTCCCTTTTGTTATTTATTTATTGAGCTTTGTGGTTTTATATAAATATGTTCGAACTGTTCAGGAATAATGGGGCAGGGAGGAGGTTAATCTAATGAAGCATTACACTGGTGGGGAGCTCATTAATATTTATCAAATCAGAAGGCATATTCAGATTTTTTAAACTACAGGGTGGGGTTAACTGGTTAAGTAATTGACCCAATAGTTAAAATCGTTGAGTGTTAGAATTGAACAGGAATAACAGTACTCTATAATAAAATATAAAACTACATCAATATAGTTAGGATAAAAGCAGTCATTTAGCAAGACAAAAGATCATATTAAGTACGTTTTTTAATTTTAAACGGCTCAATGAATAAAAAGTGACTTAACAACTTCACCGTATTTGTAATTGTTTATTTAAAGCTTAAGTCGGCAAAAAAGAACATGTGTAAATGCTACTAAGAAGAAAAGAAACATGAACAGGCCCGGGGAACTTGGAGTGTGAGGTGATTGTTGGTGTGGGCCAGGTGAGGGAAGAGGAAAGGGATATTGGTTGGAGGTGGTGGTTGGTGTAAAAATTGATTTTTCTCTTTTCAGAAGGTTGCTACTATTCATGAATGCAAAGATTTGAGAAAGGGAAATCGTTGAGTTGTTTTTGGGATGTCCTGAGATCTGGGAGTTTTACTCCGACAACGAGACATGAAAATTAGTGCAGGAAGATATGGGATGTGACTCAGTTTTTCACTTTTTGGCGTCCTTCGCTGAGTTATTCAGTCCTCAACCGATAATGGCTCCTAAATTTGAGAAAGGATTTCCTGTCTTCTGGGATTTTCTTATGCAATAATAATGGATACTTGAGGGTGTTTAGAGTCTTTAGACATTCTTTCTTCATAGGTTATAAGATGGTCGGTAGATATACTGTTGTCCATTGTGCTGCAATCAGTTGGCAGTTCAAAAGAGTGCTAGGCCTTGTAGTTTAGCGAGGAGGTTCCGGTTTCCAAAATTTGCTCCCTGTTGACTTCTCTTAGTCGAAGGGGAGCCTTGGCGTAACTGATAAAGTTGCTGCCATATTACCGGGAGATCATGGGTTCGAGCCGTGGAAACAACCTCTTGCAGAAATGCAGGGTAAGGTTGCGTACAATAGACCCTTGTGGTCCGGCCCTTCCTCGGACCTTGCACATAGCGGGAGCTTAGTGCACCTGGTTGACTTCTTTTAGCCGAGAATGGTTGGATCACATTCAGGGACCTGCCAAATATCTATTATTGTGAATTGCTTGTCTCTTGAGTATTTGCTTGTGGAGATCTTTTATCATGAATTGCTTGTCTCTGAGTATTTGCTTGTGGAAATCTATTATCATGAATTGCTTGTCTCTGAATATTTGCTTGTGGAAATATGCCTAAACTGCTTTATTATTTCCCTATAAAGAATCTTCCCCATTAAGTGGGAATACTGGAAGTGCGTTGATTATGGAATTGAGAGGAAACTTCTCGTCTCTGGAAGACTACTTGGCAATTCTGTTTTCACGTTAAGCTCTGACATTTTTCTCTTTATCTTCCCCCCCAAAAAAAAAACAGATGTCTGAAAGTTGGAGTTACCCTCCGCTTAATGATACTGCTACTGCAGCTACTCGTGTCAATGAAGCTCTTGCTGAAAGAGGATGGAAGATTAAAGCATAGAATCCCCTGGTGTATATTGTTGTTGCCACAGATTTTCTTTTCTTTTTTCTTTTATTTTATTTATTATGTGTTCAGAGCTCTGAGGTCATGTATTATGATTGATTTAAATCTTATAGGAGGAAAAAGAAATAATTGTCAGATAAAATCAGAGGTGAACAATGAGGCTCTTATTCTTTTACCCATTGAGGGTTTTTGGCACATATTGACAAAATAAAGGTCAATCTTTATATGTAAAGCAGAAGCATTGGATGGCTTGGCGGAATGTTTTGTTTCACGGTTTGCTTTCCTCAAGTCATAAAAGATCAAAATTTAACAAGTTCAAATCTTATTCTGCTTCGTTGGAAATTTCTACAATATGGCCATTCTGTATTTATCTGTGTGTAGATATAGAATTCTTCCGTAGTCCGGATGTAGTTCCAAGCCTCTTAACTGTTGCCATTCTGTGTGGATCTGCTACGCATAATATGGGAGAGTTGAATTTTGCGGTGTTTTTTTAGCTGGTTATGCAAATCAAGTAAAAGTGAACGGAGGGAGTATGTAAATTATAAAGTATAAAATAAACGTACATGATGGTGCATGCATTATTCCGTCGTATTTAATGTGTGTGTTTTGGCATTTGGTCTTCTCTGTTTATTAAGAGAAAGAAAAATACTAGACTAGGATCAAACTTCAAATGGACCAGATTATAAAGTCTATTCGATCTGTTGGTCAACGAGTAGCATTCCGTACTTGTCTTCAGCTTAGAGACAATATTCATTATAATAGATTATATTGCTGCTTGATCTGTATATTATCACTATACGAGATTATGAGGAATAATTTGAAGAAATTAACAGATAGTAATATAATTTGAAATAAATATCAAGTAGTCCAAATGCTTACGACTTTTTGGAGTATAAATAGCCATTATTGAATCCATTAGTGTCTTGACCTAATGTAGCTTCTGAAGTATTCCTTGGATTATTGGGGTAAAACTTAATTTCCTTGAAATTTCCCTGGTTCTTTCTCCACCAATATTTATAAGGTGTAAATGTAATGTTAGGAAAATTAAGCTGAGATTGAAGAACTTTTAATTTAAATTATGGTGTAAAACTAAATCAGATGAAGAATACTCTCTATTTCCTCTATATAAATTTAAATTTATCATATTCCGTTTGCTCCAGAAACCGAAATTTACCGGTTGCTTATGCTTTTGGTTGAAAAAGAAATCCAAAAACTGGGTTTCTAGTTTTCGCAGTACTCTTGTATAAAAATTTTGTATGAAGAATACTAATTTTTTCTTCACCAAGGCACAAACTCAAATACTGAGCTTAGAAAAGTTAACTTCTTTGTTGTTTTTGCTAAATTATTGCAAATAAATACTCCTTTCTTTTCATTGTGTTTGCCATAGTTTAATTTGGTACAAAATTTAATTAAAATGATTTTTAAAATTTCAGGTCTTAAATATAGCATAATATTTGTGTAGCTATAAAATATTTGAAACTTGTGCTCTTAAATAAGTCATACCATGTGTGTTGCCATAAAAGCTTCTCAGTTAGAAAATATAGGAATATGCTAATTTTAAAAAGATTAATAGCTTGTTTGGTCAAGCTTCATTTTAGCAAACGTATTTTTTTGTTTGTTCAAAAGTTTTTTTTATCAAAATTAAGGTATTTTGCAAGTTATTAGAAAGAAAAAATGTTTTTGAGTAGAAGCAAAAGCAGTGTTTGAGAAGTAAAAAAAGTAAAATTTTCCCAAAAGCATTTTAAAAAAAAAAACACACTTAGAAGTACTTTTTTAAATCTTAGCCAAACATTAATTATTGTTCAAAAAATTTTTAAATTATTTAGTCAAATATAAATTATTTTTTATCAAAAGTATTTTTAAGAAAAATATTTTTTAAAATAAGCTAATTTTAAAAAATTTGACCAAACACGCTATAAGAAAATAATGCCAAACAAAATGAAATTAGAAATAAAAGATTTTGCAAAAAAAAACATTTTTTTTGTTGCTTTTGCTAACTCATAAGTACTGCTACTATCTTTTTAAGTTTTCAAACTAACGCATGTGAAAAGTTAGCTCACCTGCTCTGCTCAGTTAATGAATATCTGACGTCTGACTTCATATTAGATTCTTCACTTCAGCATCACTTTTTCCAGTTTCCATTTTTCCACATTACCAACATCACACACGTGACACCAACCTTCCACATTTCGACACGTGCACTCCACTTGACGTTTTTTTTTCACTTGGTGTCGGGTATATTTTTTTCTCATAAATTAATAGGCTCTAAGTTCGAGTCATCCAAAAGTAAAAGTAAGGTGAGTAGTTCTTTTGGAGGGAGGTAATCGGTGAGGAGTTATCTTGGAGGGAGGTAACCGAGAGTCTATCGAAAATAGTCTCTCTACTTCAGAATATGGGTAAAATTTACGTACACACTACCCTCTTCGGACATTATACTGAATTATTGTTGTTATTGGTGGTGGTGGTAGTGGTGGTGGCATCGGGTATTTATATTGGGACTTGATTAATCCGGATTCATGCCGAAAAATTAGGAGTCAAAATGTTCTCTAATAAAGATGATTTCATATTCAGGGCACGAATCCGAAATATCTAATTATTAACGTTTTTCATATACTACATCCTATGCTTCATGTTCGATGTACTTTTGTCTTTTTAATCTATTATGGAAATATGAAATATTCATATTTAAAAAGTCGATAATTTTTAATTATTTATTTCGCTTGTAATGATATATGATTATAGCACTAAGCATAGAAATATCATTATATATATTTAAGACTATAAATTTTATTACTTTTGATATATGATAAAAGTTTTTATTTTTATGTTTACTAGTAAAACCTTTGCAAGATTAGTCGGATTCAGACGGACTAGTCGCTAATATCCCTTAAATTTTTATCTCGTGTCTAACGTCGTTATATAAAATAAACTGAAGAGAAAAATGAATTTTTGATTACAACTACTCCTATTGATACCTGTCGGATAATTCTATCTCTCTAAAAAAATGTAAATATATAATAAGAAATTACCTCATATTGTTATGCCTCAACTAAAGTTTGCACTCTCACCTCCTATTTTCTATTTGAGTTGCATTGACCCTTTCCAATTACAAGGCATTAGTTTGATAAATTTGCAAAACTAAATCCGATCAGATTAATTTAGTCTTTTTAAAAAAATAATTCAATCTCTTAAAACTATATAAAAGATAGCAGTACTCTTATATTAGAATTTTTGTTATATAAAAATTATAAAAGATATATTTTAAAATGTTACTCAAAATTTAACAGCAAAAATTGCCTAAAATTTTGAGATAGGAGAAACTCAGCCTCCCATTTTCTTCTTCCCACTTACCCCATCTTTTTCTCTCTCTCTAGAAAACCCATTTTTCTCTCTCTACCCACACATGTATATAATCTGTTTACGTATACTTCCTTTACCTGGAAGTTTATTTTGTACCCAGTTTCCCCATTCATCAGAATTTTTCATCTAATAAAACCCTATCTTCTACTAGCCGGTGCTAGTGCTGGTGCTGCTGATTCTAAATCAAGTAAGTCAAACTCTAGGGTTTTGGAATTGTTTTTGTATTTTGAGATATGTTCTATTTAAATTTATGTTAATATTTTGTTTATTTTGTTTGTGGGTTTTCGGTAATTAGGCTGAATTCTTGAAATCTGATTTTTGACATCTTTGTGGTAAAGTTTCTATTTTTTTCCAAGAATTGGGGTTGTGTGTTTATTTATTTACCCCGTAAATTAATGATCATTTGTGTGTTCCCCTCTGATTTTTGTGTGGATTTCTGGGGGGTTTTCTCCAAATTCTCTTGATTTTCTTGAGGCTAGCTTGGCTTATTAGAGGGGAAGTGTAAAAAAAAAATCCCTCCATTCCACATTATGTGATACGGTTCGGAGTATGAGGCTCATACTGTCTAATTCTTAGTGAGAACCCGGACATAGAATCTTCAAGTTTTTTTAAATAGAATGTACATATTTAAAAACTACACAAAAAGTACTAGTATAAATCATAGTACCTAACAATTCAAGATATTTAAAAGGCATTTAAAAAAATCACAGTCAAAGGAGAATTCCTTTGACTCTCCAAATTGTAATTGTGTCAGATAAAGTGAGACAGCGGGAGTAATGTATTAGCTATATGATGAAATCATAGATTCTCTTTTTGAATTTTTGGGTTTTGATATTGCAGTGTTCTTGTGGTTAAGTGAAGTGAATTGGGTAATATTTGTTCTATTTTTTCTGGGGTATAACTTTGTTTTTTCTTAGCCTTTTGTGGTGATTTGATGGTCTTGATTGCAGTTGTGATAGTGGAGGTGAACTTTGTATTTCGGGCTTTACTTTTGAGTAATTTTGAGTACCATTAGGAAAAGAGGTTTTCTTGTTTCAAAATAAGATTATTGGAGGTCAAGGTCTCATGAGAATTGTTAGGGGAATGCAGAAATTAGTTCGCGAGTATCAGACAGAAGTGGACTGCTGGGACAAATCATTCAGCCTTGGTATTGGTGTTACCGCTCCAAAGGCCAGGAAGCGTGACAAATTCAAAGCAAGCTCTTTGTTTTTCTAACTTCGGGTAAAGGAGAACTCAAGTGTTTCATAGGTCCCGGGTTGAAGAAGACTACCCCAAATGACTCGGATACTGGTTCAGCGCGGTTCCGCTGGAGCTTCATCGTCTTCGTCCTCAAATCAGAACAGGTCATCTACTTCGCTCCCTGGTTCGTCTTCTTCTTCAGCTCCAACCCAGCCACAGGCTTCTAGTAACAGTCAGGTATTATCAGCTTCGAAAGATGATGAATTCGTAGAAGAAATACAAGAAGAGGTTGCTTTAGAAGAGCTCTCCATTGGTTCTTCAAACTACAAGGGTGTTAAGGTTGACGATGGATTGTTGGATAGTTTAGGTAGCGACCAAAGCACCATTGAGGAAAAGATTGCTGATAATGAGACGAGAGACGGTGTTTTTGTCAGTGAGGGCCTGGCAAGGGAATATGATGGTTTGAGAGTTGTGGAAGTGGAAAATGAGGGAAGTTCAGTTCAGAGGGCTATATGTAGTTCATGTCCACCTCCACCTCCTGTCCCACCACCAAAACCTGCTTCACTAAACTCGAGTCCTAGAAGATTCCCGTTGGGTAGTTCACATGCTGGCCGTATAGGATCATCTAGGGGAACTGCTGGGAGACCTACTGTCTCAACTAGGACCTCACCTGCTGGATCCAGGCCATCCTCTCCACGATCACATTGTGATGAAGGTTATAATAGTGCTGATGAGCAGAATCCCAGCTTTGGATCCTCATATGATGATGTGGTATGTTCCACCATTTTATCAATTAAATAGTAGATTATGGATAATTTATGCCCCTCTTGTTCGCTTGGGACATAAGAATCGACTATGTCTCTGTAGCATTTATAATTAGGATATTTACTAAAGTTCACGTACCTTATGCATTTTAATCACTTAGTGATCATCCATTCCCAATTGACAAGTTTGAGAAAGGTTAGAAAGTGGAGATTCTGCTCTCGAGTGAAGAAGGCACTGTATCTTGTCTATTTGAGAATAACCAAGGCTTTCAATATGTCTCAGTTTGCAAAGTTAACATGTTTCCTTTGTTTTAGGAGAGAGAACAGCAGTTTGAAATGGATCTTAGACGAACCAAAGGCTTAGAAGTTAAGAAAATGTTGGAAGATGGGAACTGTCTCTTCCGTGCTGTTGCTGACCAAGTATATGGTGATTCTGAAGCTTATGATTTGGTCAGGCAGATGTGCATTGACTACATGGTAATCTTTCTACCAAGGCGTCACTTTTGAAGTCCCTGTAAAGATATAATGATTGTATTACTTTCTTTCGTTGCTAGGTTAAAATTTCTATTTGCTTGATTCTAGTTTCTTTTGATATTACTAGGTAGGAAAGCTGCATGCTTATAAGAAACCTTTTACCATTAGGAGAACCTCGGTTTTGTTAGTCTATTGCTGATTTCGTAGTTATCAAATTGGTGGAACTACAGGATTTACAGGCCAGGATATAATAAAAATGCATGGACAGCATAAAGAAGTAGATATCTGCTGTAAAATATAGTGAGAGGATTTGATAGCTTGATAGTAGATGTACGTGTAACTTATCCAAAAGAAAAAATATATAGTAAATATTATGTGATTAGGATGGTATGTTTTTGGCAGATGTTATTCCTGAAAATGATTTATTCTGCACCCAAGGGTGTGGCCTAGTGGTCAATGAAGTGGGTGAGAACTATGAGGTCTCAGGTTCAAATCCCAGCGGAGACAAATACTAGGTATTTTCTTCCTATCTATCCAAGCCTTGGTGGATAGAGTTACCTCGTACCTGTGGCTGGTGGGAGGTGGCAGGTACCCCGTGAAATTAGTCGAGCTGTGCGCAAGTTGGCCCGGACACCACGGTTATCAAAAAAAAATGATTTATTCTCTAGTTGTCAGGTGTTTGGTTGGACAGTGGTAAATATTTCGGAAAGAACATTTATTAAGCATTGATAACAACGTTAGCAAATTGGATAGTGCTTTTATGGTTTTTTTTTTATATTAAAGATTGATAACAACGTTTAAGTGTTATTTCTCAGCAAAAAAAAGTAATGTTTTAAGTGTTGGTGGGAGCAGTGATGTGAAGTTAAGAGTTGAGATAGTTGTGCCTTATCCAAAAAAAAAAAAAAAAAGGAAAGAAAGAAAGAAAGTTGAGATTGTTGTGAAGGAAGAAACTTCTGCCACAGAGTATATGAATCATTTTCTGGAAAATGCTTGCCAGCATACCAAACACGCATGTCTCCCATACAGAAACTGAAGCAGTAAATTTTGTAACTGAATGGAGAGAAATTTCATAACATGGAATACAAGAGTTGGTTAATGCAGATGATGCGTAATTTATCTTAATATTTTTTTTGGCATAATAGGCAATGAAGACATTAGAAATATGTTTAGCTGATTTGTAATGCTAACTTTGTCACAAAGGTGTTTAAGTAATTGGTGGTTTGTGTTTGGAATACACATCAAAATTCCCCGGCGTCTATACAAATAAATCCTGTTACATGGCAAAGGAGCTACTATCATCTTCAGGTAGCATGCTGCCATTTATGATTCGCCCTCTTGCATACCCTGTGACCAATGATGATCAGCTCTCTAAATATGCTAAACTTTGTTAGGTTTGCAACTTTTGCCCTGCTTTTTTTATTAATCCTCCCTCTGTTTCAATTTATGTGTCCTAATTTGACTAGCCACGGAGTTAAAAATAAAAAAGACCTTTGAAACTTGTGGTTTTAAACATGTCATGAGATTTTGTGGCTATAAAATCATGCCATTTTGGGTAAATGGGAGGTTTAAAGTTAAATTGCTTTTAAAGATAGAAATGTGTCATTCTCTGTGGAATGGACTAATAAGGAAACTGTGACTCATAAAATGGAACAAATGGAGTAATAATTACCCTGGTCTTGCTTGCCAATTTCTGGTTTTCTTGCAATGTTACCCTCTAGGCCACACCCGTGGGGTAAATATATTTCTCTGGTTTCGTGTGCATGAGCTTATGTTATTCAACTAGTGAAAAATCAACTAGTAGAGTTTCATGGATAAGGTTTTGTGTGCCTAACACCCCCCCCTCCCCCCCCCCCCCCC